GGGGGGGGGGGGATAAAGGGGGAGGGGTGGCACATTCAACATTATAACCTTGTACTAGTAGGAACAAAATTGTTTTATTTCTCCTTCAGTGAATAAAAGAACAAGAGATCATGAAATTTTAGTGATTTTAGTTAGTCAACTTTTCACATTTAGGAACAAACCATTTTCATTAAAAAATATAAACCAAAATACAAAAGTTTTTTAAATGAACAGAAAATTGAGGTAGCCAATCCGGCACTGGTTCTGATACACTGATGGTAATTTGCCATTTACAAAAATAAAAAAGAAGTTTCATTTAAATATCTAGATTCTAGATAGCCTATATTGTTTTACGTGATCATCGGTCGTGGCAAGCTGGAAAATACTAAACGGAGGGTATGGAATAAGAAGCCGGGGAGGGGGGGATGCGCCAAAAAAATGGAAATTAATAAGCAGGGGGGGGGGGATGAGGGGCGCTTATCCAATACCTTGGAGTACATCGCGCAAATGCTAAAATGATCGCTTATAAGGACAAGGGGGCTATCCAGAAAAATGCTGTTTTGGGAAAATCGAAGATGAAGTTTTCGACCCTTGTTCAGTCTCTATAAAATACATGGACATTTTTCTCGATAACCAAAAGAATATACACACCAATTAAACCAAACTTCTCCTATAGGTATTACAATGCCTACTTTTGGTGTAGGACAAGATTTCTGGAAACCCCCGAAATCTGGGTTAGCCTTGCTTGTCCTTAAAAGCAACCAAATATAATATCTTTTCCTTACTTTTGTCATGATGTGTTACAAGTAATCTCCATGTATGATAAAGCACTTTCTCATGGGGCCAATGCTACTAAACAATTCTTTGTAAAACCAAATCATACTAACGTTGGGCTGGTCGCCAATAAGTAGCCTCTATTTGAATCCTCAGGTATGTTACGCCCGCAGAAAAGCGACTTAACTCCCAATTCAGACCCGTCAGACCCGTAGTTTGAAACTCTCTGTATGTCACAGAGAATAAACAGACTGAGATTTATGTCCAGAATTTCGTGCTCTACACAAAACCAATGACTACTAAACAAAATATTAACAAGCACTTTGTCAAAATGTTAACTCCAAGTTTCGCGTGGTATAATTTGAAACGTATCTGTTTTCCGATCAGTTTGAAACTTTCATGTTTACGACTCAACTGACATCAAATTGACCGAATGCTAGAACATACATCCTGATTATGCTTTTTAAAAAGTCAAATGCTGTAACACAACGGAAAGACAATAAATGCCCCCACCCCTTCACCTCCTTTGCCCTTCCTCTGGGCTCCTGACTCTTTCTGCAGCCTTTCTGCTGTTTCTCCTTTTCTCCCTCTTACTGCTGTCTTTCAGCCACACCCCTAATCTTCCTGTAGGAAAGATCTACACCTAGTCTCCTCAGACAAGGGCGAACAATCTCGGAGGTCCCAAGTGCAAGTTGTGTACCTTAAAGATCCCTTGGTGATCTAAAATCGATTAGAGCAAGCTTCTGCCGCCATCCGGGCAAAATTAAAAATCTCCTACCAACTGAAAATGTTTAATGTGTCCCGCGCACTCATATGACTTTATGCAGTTGCGAGCGCTGTAAAACACTAACAAAAACTACAACAAAAAGATGATAAAGCAGTTAGCCCCTTACAGCATGCTTTTCAGTTTAGATGTATCAGCAAAAATCGTTCTCCCAAATCGACCTGTTCTTGATTTGCTCACGGATACGGGATAGATACCAGTAACAAACTTAATTTTCCAAGCGGAAGGTCCATTTTGTAATGGGTTGCAAATTTGGAAAGGTTTTAGTTTTAAAAAAATAAGATTTGAATTCTAAGCCCTGACCAACACATGGTAGGCCGCCTGTAAAAAAAAAACACACTCTTGGAAAATTTATTAACCCTATCCGTACGCCCTGGGGTCATTTTGTACCCTCGGGGTTGTATTCTTCACATTTTAGAATACTTCTAGTACGGAGATCTCTTTGAAACTTTCAGTATTTCTTTATAAAAAATCACTTTGGCAGACTGCTATGCAAAGAGTACGAATCGGATTAACGAGTAAATTTCCTCTTTGGAAAGTGGTGGCACAGAGTTCCCCACGTCGTATGGATACGATAGTAAAACACGACGTACGGATAGGGTTGAGATGGTCCGTCTTTCGGTGAACTCTGACTGATACCGCGTCGTCTTACCAAAAATTCTGGAGGGACTTTGTAGATTTTAATTTATTGATGATGAAGCGAGAAAGAACCAGCACTTCCAGAAAGATAGGGCTGCTGCTCATGACGCCAGAGCTGTTCTGGGCTGGGTCGACAAGCTACGCAGGTTTGTTTCGTTTCTC